ATGGAGACAACAGATGCTGGAGAGGATGTGGAGAAATAGGAACACTTACACAATTGGTGGGAGTGTAAATTAGTTCAACCACGGTGGAAGACAGTGTGGTGCTTTCTCAAGGAAACTTTCTTTTCGAAAGGTAATAAACAGAAAGACAAAGCAAGAGAACTCTGGCTGGGTCTTATGAAGGAATAAACCCACTGAAGGAAACAATCTTCCTATTTTAGATTAGTCGTAGGAAGAAGAAATCCAGGAAAACCTCTTCTGCCATGCTAGGTAGGGAGGAGTAGGGTGAGAGTTAAGGTGTCTCACGACAGTTGCATCCAGGCATGACCAGGTAGACAGAGGGTGGCCCAATCAAAAGGGACACCAGTGGCTGGGTGCAGTGGCTCATGCCTGTAATCCCAGCACTTTGGGAGGCAGAGGCAGGTGGATCACCTGAGCTTAGGAGTTCAAGACAAGCCTGGGCAACATGGCAGAAGCCCTCTCTCTAAAAAAAAAAAAAAAAAAAAAAAAATTAGCCTGGTGTACTGGTGTGCACCTGTAATGCCAGCTACTTGGAGTCTGAGGCACAAGAATCACTTGAACCCAAGAGGTGGATGCTACAGTGAGCCCAGATTGCACCCCTGCATTCTAACCTGGACAACAGAGTAAGACTCTGTCTCAGAAGAAAGGGATGCCAGCTCTAAGCAACTGATTATGCCAGGTATCTGCCAAATATCTTCCCTAAGGCCAAAACAGTATGAGAGGCCTCAATTCTGGAAAGATTGCTAGAGTTGGCATTGGAAGCAGAGAAGGCTAATTGTCCCTCTGTGTCAATTCCCAGGATTTGATTCTGCCCAGCCATCCAGCTGGAGTGCACACCCTTGCATCTGGGGGTGGCCATGACACTAATTTCTAGCCAATGAGATATGAATAGATTTGATGATTACAACGTCCAGGTCAGGTCCTCAAAAAGGGAAACCGCTTGCTTACCACGTCCTCCCATTTTCCCTACCCATGGGCTTTGAGTCGGCTCCACCCTGCAGCAGATGGCACACCCTGGCGCAGCTACAGGCCCCAAGACAAAAGGAACCTTTGTCCTTAGGTGAAATGAAACAAAAACACCTACTCACCTTGAACCGCCTGCCCACTTTCAGGCCACTAAGTGAGAAAGAAATATGCTTTATCTTGTTCGAGCTACTGTATATTTGGAGAATTTTGGTGACAGCAACTTCGCCAGTATAGTAAAGAAACAGCATTGTATCTGTCTTATAAGAACACCATAGTGGCAGCAACACTGCTCCACTCCTCCCCACGACTACAGAGAGATAAAGCCCACACTGAAAACCCCATCAGGCCTGAGAATGACACTCAGACCTGAGGCTGGGTGAGGGGAATAGGCAATTGAGCAATTGGCATCATTTCCTGAAAAGGCATCTCTCAACCTCAGTTTGTCACCTGCCCTTCAGCTGTCACTGGATTTATTCCTAACCTTTACAAATTTGTCCAGACTGGCTTATCTTCCTATCTCATCTTGCAATCTACTCTCTCACTAGTATTATCTCATGCTTCCTTCTGTCCAGAACTATTCCAAAATTCTCATCCAAAGACTTTTTGTTGTTATTGTTAGAGAGAAAGAGACAGGGTCTTGCTTTGCTGCCCAGACTGGTCTTGAACCCCTGGCTTCAAGTGATCCTCCTGCCTCAGCCTCCCAAAGTGTTGGGATTACAGGTATGAGCCACCGAGTTTGTTGGAGTTTGTTGAGTTTGTTGGAGTTTGTCGAGCTTCTTGAATTTGTATGGCAATGTCTTTCCTCAAATTTGGGAAATTTGGGGTCTGATAAGGTTTGGCTGTGTCCTCACCCACATCTCATCCTGAATTGTAACTCCTACAATTCCTGCATGTCGTGGAGGAACTTGAAGGGAAGTAATTGAATTATAAGGGTGGGCCTTTCCTGTGCTGTTCTCATGATAGTGAAGGAGTCTCATGAGATCGGATGGTTTAAAAAAACATAGGAGTTTCCCTGCACAAGCTCTCCTCTCTCGTCTGCTGCCATGAGAAAACATGAGATGCACCTTTCACCTCCCACCATGATTGTGAGGTCTCCCTAGCAATGTGGAATTGTAAGTCCAATAAACCTCTTTTTTTTTTTTGGGGGGGGGGAATTTCACAGTCTTGGGTATTTCTTTATCAGCAGCATGAAAACAGAATAACACAGGGTCGTTATTTCTTCACATAGGAGCTCAACCCTTTCTCTCTTCTATGTTTAAGATTTCCATAATGCATGTGCTGCTCCATTTCATGATGTCCCAGAAGCTCCTTAAGTTTCCTTCACTTTTCTTCATTTTTTTCCCCTCTGACTCAATAATTTCAAATAAACTGTTTTCAAGGTTACTGAGTCTTTCTTCTCTTTGGTCAAGCAGGAAACCTCAGTGAATTTTTCCATTTGGTTATTATATTCTTCAGCTCCAGGATTTTTTTTTTTGTTAATATATCTATATACATAAATTTTATTGTGTTTTAGGTTTTGGAGTACATAGGAAGAACATGCAGGATTGTTGCATAGGTACCTACATGGCAATGTGGTTTGCTGCCTTCCTCCCCATCACCTGTATCTGGCATTTCTCCCCATGCTGTCTCTCCCCAACTCCCCACTACCACCCCCACCCCCACCCCCACCATCCCTCCCTTAGGGGTTCTTTTCAATAGTTTCTGTCTCTTTGTTGATAACCTCATTTTGTACATGCATTGTTTACCTAATTTTGTTTTGTGGTTTGTGTTATCTTTTAGCTCACTGAGCATCTTTAAGATGATTGTTTTAGATTACTTGTCAGGTAATTAATAGATCTCCACATCTTTAAGGTCAGTTTCTAGAGATTCATTTTGTTTCTTTGACTGGGCCAGTTTCTCTGCTTCTTTGTATGCCTTGAAATCTTTTTTTAAGCTTTGGGCATATCGGGATGGCTTTACACAGGGTAAGACCTTCACCAGTCAACCCGTTAGAGATTCTAGGGCTTTTTCCAACTTTTTTGGGCAACATTTCTCGACTGTGTTTATAATTCCGCAGTTTAAGGTTTGCTTGTCTCTTTTCTGCAGCCCACAATCTCTTGCTCCCCTTGGTGTCTGTCTGTGGTACTACAGTCTTATTGTTTCCATAACAAGCTGCAGCAGTCACCTTTGATTTCAGTGACCGCCAACCTGGCATCGAAACTGCTGTTCCCATCAGCACTCCAAGTCAGGAGAGATAGAAATCTGCTCCTTTGGTGAACTGTCAAAAGGCCTGATCATTGGACTACAGTTGTTTCCCTTCTCTTTTTCTCTCTTGAGGGAGAAGAGGATTGGAAATGTTCTCCCAATTATACTACAGTGTGCTAGGGATACGGAGTAACTAGGGTGACAAAGAATCTCTCCTTGACCACACTTTAGTCAGATTCCTCTGAACCCTCTACTTAACCAGGCCTTGACCTTTGAGCTCCTATATTCATCTTTGCATCACAAAACTGTTTCTTGCAGTTTTAGCAAGATTCTTCCACTCTTGATATCTAATCAAATTAATCATCCTCCACCATCCCCCAGATGACATTTGATCACCCTGGTCTGCCTTCAGCAAGAACCCTGTCAAATCAGTTTTACCAGAATTGTCACCCTTGCCTTGACATTGCCTCTTAGTAATTTTCCATCCACTGCTGACCCCCACCCCCCAACTCTGCTCTTTGACTATAAATCCCCACTTGTCTTGCTGTAACTATGACAATTGTCCTTGCTTTTCTTTACCAATGGCAAGCAAAATGCCACACAATTTCCTACCTGTTTCAGTGAATCTCTTGGCTTTGTGTACCTTTGGGTGCTGCAAACTCTCAACTGGTTTTTGGAGTTCTCAGAAAGGCAATTTTGTCCATATGATGTTGTTAAGTTGATGTCTCTGTAGGAGGATAAGGCTCTGCAGTTTCCTATTCTGCTATCTTGCTTATATCAATCAGCACAGTCTTATTTCATAAGTACATCAAAACTGGACTTTCATGTTTCTGTTTTTGGAGATGGAGTCTCACTCTGTCGCCCAGGCTAGATTGAGGTGGTGTGATCTCAGCTCACTGCAATCTCTGCCTCCTGGGTTCAAGCGATTCTCCTGCCTCAGCCTCCCAAGTAACTGGGATTACAGGCACACACCACCATGTCTGGGTAATTTTTGTATTTTTAGTAGAAACGGGTTTTCACCATGCTAGCCAGGCTAGTTTCAAACTTCTGACCTCAGGTGATCCACCTGCCTCGACCTCCCAAAGTACTGGAATTACAGGCATGAGCCACCACACCTAACCCAATACTGGACGTTTTTGATCTACCTTTCCAAAACCTACTTTACCACAGTGTTCCTGAAACAATAAAATGACAACACCTGCTGCTATACAGTATTTAAACTAGAAACTTAGGAATCATCCTTACCTCTGCCCTGTCCCGCCACGTCAAATTATTAACCAAGCATTCTTGACTTGACTTTATAGTTATCAAATCTACCCACATCTCCTTACTGCCACACAAAGCCATCCCTTTTCATTTGGATGATTATTAACAGTCCTTTTTTTTTTTTTTTTTTTAAACTGGGTCTTACTCTCTCTCTCAGGCTAGAGTGCAGCGGTGTGTGATCACAGCTCACTGTAATCATGACCTCCTAGGCCCAAACAATCCTCCCACCTCAGCCTCCCAAGTAGCTGGGACTAAAGGCACGCAGCACGGTGCCTGGTTAATTTTCTATTTTTTGCTGACATGAGGTCTCACTATGTTGCCAGGCTGGTCTCAAACCCCTGAGTTCAAGCAATCTTCCCGTTTCAGCCTCTAAAATCATGCTGGGATTACAGGCGTAATGTATGTAAGCCACCATGCCTGCTTTATAGCAATCTCTTAATTAATTCTTAATTCCTGACTTTAACTCCTCCAATTTAATCTCCATAGTGTAGGTAGAGCAACTCTAAAATGCATATGTGGCCCTGTCATTCTGCCACTTAAAACCTTTCAGTGTCTCTCTACTACAGGCGTCCCCAAATTACGGCCCGCGGGCTGCATGCGGCCCCCTGAGGCCATTTATCCGGCCCCCCGCCGCACTTCAGGAAGGGGCACCTCTTTCATTGGTGGTCAGTGAGAGGAGCACAGTATGTGGTGGCCCTCCAACGGTCTGAGGGACAGTGAACTGGCCCCCTGTGTAAAAAGTTTGGGGATGCCTGCTCTACTGTCTTAGGAAGAAATTCTAGCCTCTTTTACAAAGTTTACACAGCTTTTTATTGTTTACAATCCCCTGCTCACCCCTCCAGACTCACAAAACAAAGACTTATCTGGTCCAAGATGTCAATAATGTCTGTCAGGGTGGAGAAATCTAGTCCTAGAGGGTGGGCTTCAGAAAATGAAGGAGTCAGCCAAGAAAGAGAAAGAAAAAGAACCCCCAAAAGAAGAGATCCAGCAGGAGAAAGAAGCAAAAGAAACCCCCAGGGTTTATACATTACACATTAAGGGCAATGACCAACACCAAGTTATTCCTGCTGCTGATGGACATCTCCAGCTTTGGAGGCTTCTGCATTAGCCTGGTGTTGGTCTTTCCTCCTTTCACTTTCCTATGGTTAGGCTATTCCTGTGCCCACTGTCAGTGGTGAGGGCGTAGCCTGAGAATCATGTTCTGAGTCTTCTGTCAGCTTTAGCCTTGGAGCTGGTCCAGAGAGGAAGAAACTTCAGATGCTCTGAAAGTCTTAATATGGGCCAGACATGGTGGCTCACACCTATAATCTCAGCACTTTGGGAGGCCAAGGGAGGCAGATTGCTTGAGCCCAGGAGTTTGAGACCAGCCTGCGAAAGACGGTAAGACCCCATCTTTACAGAAAATACAAAAAATCAGCTGGGCATAGTGGCATGTGCCTGTAGTCCCAGCTACTCAGGAGGTTGAGGTGGGAGGATCACCTGAGCTTGGGAGGTTGAGGCTACATGGAGCCATGATAATGCTATTACACTCCAGCCTGAGTGACAGAGTGAGCCTCTGTCTCAAAAAAAAAAAAAAAAGAAAAGAAAAGAAAAAAGAAAGTCATAATTTGAAATAGGTGGGACTGAGAGCCTCTCACATAGAAAAGTAGGTCCTGCTTAAAGTGGATTTCAAAAGGAGTTTAGGGTCTTGTTTGTTGGTTGGTTCTGTCCCTGGAATCTTGCATTTCCGTTTCCCTATTAGCAGGTTGGATTGGTAAAAGCTACCCTGAATACCAAACCAGTCTGGGAGGAGTCTTACGACTGTGTTGTTAAGGGTTTTGTTTACACCTCGGAAAATGAGGCTTCCTATAATTCTAGCTGGCTATTCCAGTAGACCTAGAATAGATGGCAGGGAGAGCGGAGAGCTGGCAGCCGATAGCACCACTCTGTCTTTGCAACTATAAAAATAAATTAACCAGGAATCTATACGAGAGGTATTGGTGTCTAGAAAAAGAACATTAGGGTCCGGGCGCGGTGGCTCACGTCTATAATCCCAGCACTTTGGGAGGCCGAGGTGGGTGGATCAAGAAGTCAGGGGTTCAAGACCAACCTGGCCAAGATGATGAAACTCTGTCTCTACTAAAAATACAAAAAATTAGCTGTGTGTGGTGGCGCACTCCTGTAACCCCACCTACTCAGGAGGCTTAAATCCAGGAGGTGGAGGTTGCTTAAATCCAGGAGAATAGCTTAAACCCAGAAGGCGGAGGTTGCAGTGAGCTGAGATCACGCAACTGTACTCCAGCCTGGGCAACAGAGTTGAGACTCTGTCTCAAAAAAAAAAGAAAAAGAAAAAGAATATCAGAACAAACCTAAAGAAATTGACAAGAAGGAATAATGAAGATAAAACAAATTAATGAATTAAACAAAGGAAAAAGTCAAATAGCAATAGATGGCTAAGTAAAACCAAGGGCTTATTCAAAAAAATAGACAAACTCTTGGTAAACCTGATCAAGGAACAATTAAGAAAACCCAAATACAGAACAACAGACATGAGGAAGGGGTAATACATTAATGAAATTCAAAGAATTATAAGAGGCCAGACATGGTGGCTCATGTCTGTAATCCCAACACTTTGGGAGGCTGAGACAGAAGCATCACTTGAGGCCAGGAGTTAAGAGACCAGCCTGGGCAACATAGCCTAATCCTGTCTCTACAAATAAAATAGCCAGGCATGGTGGTGCATGCCTGTAGTTCCAGCTACTCAGAAGGCTGAAGCAGGAGGATCACTTGAGCCCAGGAGCTTGATGCTACAGGAAGCCACAATTGTGGCACTGCAATCCAGCCTGGCTGACAGAGCAAGACCCTGTCTCAAAACAACCAACCAAACAAACAAACCCAAGCAGATTTATAAGATAATTTCATATACAACTTTATGCCCATACATTTCAACATCTCAATGATATAAACAGATTTCTGGGAGAATAAATAAATTATCAAAATTAGAACAAGACGTGAAAAGCCGGAATAACCTCGTAATCTGCAGGGGAACTGCCCCATGATGGCCCTGGTCACCTTGCACTATCATCATACAAGAAACAGCTTCAACCACAGCTATCCTGAGTTCTGTGATGCTTCCAGAACACTAAAGGGTGGGACTTGAGAGGAGCTGCCATGGGGCTTCTCCCATCTGCCTCCTTTTCCCCCAAGGATGCTGCCAGGCTAAGAATCTCTGCAGCTGCCGTCTAACACCAGCTCTTCAGCAATGCGATCCTCTCACAACGCATTTCACGGTAATCTGGTCCTTTTGTTTCCATGTCTATTTCGGGATGTGGGACAAGGACCATGAGGAACTGATATCTTTGACTACCCTTCCTTTTGCTATTTAGGTGAGTAATAAACCATCTAGATCTAAAGAGGGGTGGGGTGCAGTGTCTCATACCTGTAAACCCAGCACTTTGGAGGCCAAGCTGGGAGGATCATTTGAGGTCAGGAGTTTGAGACCAGCCTGGCCAACATGGTGAAACCGCGTATCTACTAACAACATGAAAATTGGCCAGGCGTAGTCTCAGGCACCTGTAATCCCAGCTAATCGGGAGGCTTAAGCCCAGGAGGTGGAGGTTGCAGTGAGCCGAGATCACGCCACTGTACTCCAACCTGAACGACAGAGCAAGACTCTGTTTCGAAACAAAACAAAAAAATAAATGAAGACAGAAAATAAAGAAAAATAAATCTTCAAGAAAAATAAATCTAAAGAGGGCTTGTTATCTTTACTGGCTGGAGCCGTCAGGTCATTCCATCTTGCCTGCTCTGTACTTGACATAATCACAGCAGATCAACTGTCTTTTCTTGGTTTGCCAGATTAAGTTAGTTAAAAGGTTGCAAGTCCCCAGTAGCCCAGAGAGCATAGGTAAACAGGTACTTCCTTACATTATTACTGGAAACAAATACAGTCGGCCCTCCAACACAGATCAGAAATGCAGTTATGCTTATGATGGTCGCATCCGTACTGACCATGTACACACTTTTTTTCTTGTCATTATTTGGTAAACAATACAGTATAACAAGCATTCAAATACCATTTACACTGGATTAGCTATTGTAAGTAATCAAGATGATTTTAAATATATGGGAGGATGTTCATAAGTTATATGCAAATAGTACACCCTTTTGTATCAGGGACTTGAGCATCCTTGAATTTTGGTATCTGCAGGACATTCTGAAACTAATCGTCCATGGACATCAAGGGATGATTGAGTAGGTAAAACAAAATTTGGCAATAGCTATTGTCTTTGTTTTCTGTTGCTTATAACAGAGTATCTGAAAATGGGTAATGTATAAAGAAATGAAATTTATTTCTTATGGTTCTGGAGGATGGATCCAAGATTGAGGGAAGGGCATCTAGTGAGGCCCCTCTTGCTGGTGGGGACTCTCCGCAGCGTCTCAAAGCAGTGCAAGGCATCACCTGGCAAGAGGCAACACATGCCAGCTGAGGTTTCTCTTCCTCTTCTTACAAAGTCACTAGTTCTACTCCCATGATAAGCCATTAATTTGTTAATCCATTAATCCAGAATGAATTAATCCATTTATGAGGGAAAAGCCCTCATAACCTAATCACCTCTTAAAGTCCCCACTTCACATGAAGTGAGTTTGGGAAAGAACGAACATTCAAACCATAACATCAATCAAAATTTAAATCACTACCTTCTGTCACTCATAAATTCCACTAATAGGAATTCCACTTACAGAAATTTATCTCACAGAAATATAGATACACACACATATGCACTATACATAGCAGTTTATACACAGCACCATATATATATCATATATATAGCAGTTGTAAAACAATATGTGATAGAGCTCATTTTAAAGATTAGGGGCACATGGGGTCAGACACAGTGGCTCACACCTGTAATCTCAGCACTTTGGGAGGCCGAGACAGGTGGATCACTTGAGGTCAGGAGTTTGAGACCAGCCTGGGCAACATGGCAAAACCTCATCTCTACAAAAAAAACCCACAAAAATTAGCCAGGTATAGTGGCCTGTGCCTGTAGTCCCAGCTACCCAGGAGACTGAGGTGGGAGAATCACTTGAGCCCAGGAATTCAAGGTTGCACTGAGCTATAGTCATGCCACTGTACTCCAGCATGAATGACAAAAAAAAAAAAAAAAAAATTCTGTACATATTTATGCATACATGTGCAGAGAGTAAAAATTTGTGATGTCATACTACAAACTGGTTATCTTTGATGAATGGGAACTTTATTTCTACCATATATATGTGGTGTGTATATAAAATATATATGGAATATATATTATGTATGGTATATATTATATAATGTTGTTTATATATACGTATATGCACACACGTATATTTTAGAGACAGGATCTTGCTGTGTTGTCCAGGCTGGAGTGCAGTAGTGGGATCATAGCTCATTGCGTCATGAAACTCCTGGCTTCAAATATTCCTCCTATCCTGGCCTCTCAAAGTGTTGGAATTACAGGTGTGAGGCGTGGTGCCCAACACTTTTTTTTTAGAGACAGGATCTGATATGATTAGACTTTGAGTCCCCAAGCAAAATCTCATCTTGAATTGTATTTCCCATAATCCCCATGTGTCAAGGAAGAGCCAGGTGTAGATAATTGAATCCTAGGGGCAGTTTCCCTCATGCTGTTCTCATGATAGTGCGTGAGTTCTCATGAGATCTGGTGGTTTTATAAGGGGATCTTCACCCCTTCGCCTGTCACTTCTTCCTGCTGCCTTCAGAAGGTTAGGATTTAAAGACCAGCTTCCTCTTTGCCTTCCGCCATGATTGTGAGTTTCCTGAGGCCTCCCCAGCCAAGCTAGACTGTGAGTCAATTAACCATCTTTCATTTATAAATTACCCAGTCTCAGGCAGTTCTTTATAGCAGTATGAAAAAGGAGTAATACTGGATCTCGCTCTGTGTCACCCAGGCTGGAGTGCAGTGGTGCTCAAGCAAGCCACAATCCTCCTGCCTCAGCATCCCAAGTAGCTGGGACTACAGGTGCCTGCCACCACACCCAGCTAGTTTTCTTTTTTAGTCTTTGTAGAGATGGGGGTCTTGCTATATTGCCCAGGCTGGTTTGAACTCCTGGCCTCAGAGTCTCAGGTGATCCTCCCATCTCAGCCTCCCAGATATGAGCTGCTGTGCCTGGTTGCTTTATGTGTATATGTATCTATCTATCTATCTATCTATAGACATACATACATACGTATACACACTCATGTATTTTTAGACGAGGTCACATTCTGTCACGCAGGTTGGAGTGCAGTGGCGCAACCTCAGGTCACTGCAACCTCTGCCTCCCAGGCTCAAGGGATCCTCCCATCTCAGACTCACGAGTAGCTGGGACCACTGGCATGCACCACCACGCCCAACTAATTTTTTGTATTTTTGATAGAGACAGAGTTTTGCCATGTTGCCCAGGCTGGTCATGAACTCCTGAGCTCAGACCATCCTCCCACCTCAGCCTCCCATAGTTCTGGGATTACAAGTGTGAGCCACTGTGCCTGGCCTTACATATTTTTTAATTCAAAAGTTCTACCATGAATATATATACTTAAATTTTATTTAAAAACACATAAAAGCAGAGAACAGTATAATGAACCCATTAAGATTTAAAATATTTAAAATGTTGCCAAGTGTTTCAAATGGTTATAAATCTACAACAATCTTCTCCTCCTTCTTTTATCTTTAACTGGAAGAAACAATCCGTTGTCCAATAGGATATCCCACATTCTGTATTTGTCTGTTTCCTTTTCTCTTTCTCCTTGATTCTTTCCTCTTTTCCTCTTCATTCTTTCCTCTTTCCCCTTTATGCCAGTGTAACTGGAAATGACACTTAAAGTTCCGAGTATATTAAGGACCAACATTTTTGTCAACAGGAAACATACAGTCTGGTTATTCCACTTTTAGTAATACTAACATTGATCAGTGGGTTTTCAAACGTGAAGCTCGATTTTCCCCTAGAACCAACAAATAATCTGTGGATCTATAGCGCCTTGTGAATATCCAGTTCCTCATCACCCTTTCATATTATGCTTTGCTCCCTGGATCTTTTGCACACATTATTGGGATTTTTCTAACTCTAGCTTTCCTTTTATATTTATCTGGAATTCTACAAAAATGAGCTCTCTCCCATCCACTTATTTTATAATCTTTTTACAGTTTTTAAATACATAATTGTTAGCGTTGGTGTGTGTCTTCCTGGAACTCCTTACTGTGGGTACTAGGAAGGCATACTATGCTCTACTGATCTTTGTATTCCTGTAAACCATAACATCTATCAAATTTAATGCCGGATATAGTGATGGTACATAGGATGCATTTAATAAGCTCAACAATGTATCATTGAGTACTATCTGATTAAACCCGAGTGAAAAAAAAATCATTGAGTCAACTCAAAGATCCGGCGATCCTCTCCGAAAGCATTTGCTGGACCGTAAATTATGCTTCCGTTAAAGCTCAGAACCTGGCCATGAGGCTTATCTTACAAATTAAGTCCAGTGTTCAAAGAAACAAAAACAGAAAGCTTGATGCCATAAAGACTTCAGTTGCATATCCGAAATTCAAAGTGAGAAACCTGTAACATCCTTAAGTGTATTTTCCTAAGCAGTATTTCGCTAACTTTGGCTGGCATCATTTTTGTCAACTCTTCACAACCTGAACAAATAACTTTTAATCACGTCTTTCTCCGATATTTTCAATGGGAAAATGGATGCTTTTTAGGCCGCTAAACTTCCTTGACTTGAAACAACACTCATTAAAACATAAGAGCACTACGAGTTGTATCTGAGTGGATCAGCCACACGTGCTAAACCACATACGACTTCCGGGAACCCGTTTCGCTCGGCTGGGGTTTCCGCAGCAGCGGAGTTCCCTTCCCTAGAAAGTCCCCGGCTCTGGCCCTCCCGGGCTTCCGCGCCTGGAGCCCCCCTACGGGGGAATCCGGCACTGCCAGGTCCTCGTGGCCGCCCTCAGCCCCGGGACGCCCTCCGCCGGAGCCACGCCAACCCTCCCCAGCTGCGCGCGGCTCCGCAGCCGCTTCCGCTTCTCTCTCACCCTTGACCTTTTCGCCACACCCCCAGAACGCCCTCACGTTCTTCCGCCCAGGATGCCGCGCGCCCCGCCCCAGCTGCTTCCCGTGGGCTACGCGGCGCTACGCCGCGCCCGCCTTTACATGATTGGTTTTTGTGCCTGTCACTCTAGGGTCCGAAGCCCACCATTGGTCGGCTTCCGTCACGCCGCTGAAGTGGAGGAGGGCCGAGCGCGTAGCGCCGGGAGCTGTTGGGGTGTGTGTCGCAGCGGGTTTTCTCGGCAGTTTGCGGAGCTTCTAGGATGGAGCCGGCTCCGGAGGGAGCGAGTGTCACCGCAGTTCCTGTGTCAGCTGCCGACAGCACTGTGGAGGTGGCCGAAGTCGAAGAAGGAGTTGGAGTGGCCAGTGAGAGTGACGCAGCCGCGAGAGGAGCGGAGGCCGTTGGCGACAGTGAGGAGGACGGAGAGGATGTGTTCGAAGTGGAGAAGATCCTGGACATGAAGACGGAGGGGGTACGTGAAGGGGCCCCGACGCGAGGCTGGGCGGGGAGGGCGCAGAACACGGGCGGGGGAGGGATGCGACGAGCTCGACGCGAGCCCGCGACATCGTGGGAAAGGCGAAGTGACATTTCCCCGTGCTCTCCGGGGGCCGCGTCTGGGACGGAAGCTCCAGCAAGTTCTGGAGGATTGCTGCGGCTGCAGAGGCGAAGCGCTGTGCGGTGTGGGCTGTGGCGACGACAGGGCGGCCGGCGGCCGGCGGCGGGCTTCCGTGGTCCTCGGGGTTGGGGTACGCGGTGGGAGCCGCTGCTCCGGGGACTGGTACGATGGGCAAGTCACGCGTCTCGGCATGGGTCGTTCATTGTCCACGCCTTCGTTCCAGTGTTTTCCAGAACCGTAACCAGCTCGTTCCTGGTTTAAAGTCCTCTGGAATTCTCATTTGCCCTCGGAGTGAAACCTCAGTCTCACCCAGAGGGTCGCGTTTAAAGGCCTTCAGACCCTGGCCAGCGTCATTCCTCTGTCGTCCACGCGTTGTATAGATCGCAGCCACACGGAAATACTTGGGATTCGTCACACCATGCCTTGGTATTTAGTGTCCTCCTGGCCTGGGCAGTTCTCTGCCCTCTTCTGCTGAAATCTGAATCGTTCAAGGCCTCAGGGTCTAGTTCCCTGGGAAAGCCTTTTGTGACCCTCATCTCTGCCCTTTTCACTTTTGGTGTTGACCTCAATGAAGGCATTTAAGCCAATACCGTTCTTTGTCTCGCTGCATGTGGGCTTCTTCAATCCAAGGGGAAGCATGGATGATAAGAAAATGATCTGTTTCTGTAGATGGGTGTGCGGTAACCAAAGGGCCCCGGAGTAGTCGGTCTCCGTGTTGTGTTCTTTTCATTGTCTGTTATTTCCCATTGGTCACATGCTGCCTTGTGTCAGTTTTTTGTCCATATTCATTCAGCATTTTTTTTTCAACTACTGTATGCCAGGTGCTGTGTTAGGTCCGGACAATAGAGATTAATTGAAGCATACACAGGTGCTGAGTATGTGGAGAGTTAAGTAATTAAGATCTGATGTCATTAATACTGTCATTTGCAATAAAGATAGAAATGTTTTTATGTATAATTTCTCCGAACATATTGGAAGCACCTTGAGGTGAGAGAAGGAGCCACCGTTAGACTGTTTCGTATCACCTGCATTTAACAGTACTTTTCGCACAGAAGGTATTTGAAAAATATTTGGCTAGAAGGATAAAGTCTTTAGAATTAAGATTCATTCATTCATAAAGTTTTTAATTTTGCCAGCTTCAAAGAAGTGTAAGCACTGTATACCTAAGGCCTCACCAATCTCAACAGGGTGAAACTAAAAAACATGTGTAAGGCATTTATTCTTTAGTGCTGTAAGTTTGAGTTAAAGTTCTTGCATTTTTAGGTACTCTTGTGAAGGAGTGATTTATAAGAGGAAGGTGATACGGTTTGGCTGTGTCCCCATCCAGAATCTCATCTTGAATTGTATTCCCCATAATTCCCACATGTCAAGGGAGGGACCAGGTGAAGCTAGGATCATAGGGGTGGTTCCTCCAATGCTCTTCTGGTGATAGTGAGTCTCAATTTGGTGGTTTTATAATAAGCCTCTGGCATTTCCCCTGCTTGCATTCATTCAGTCCTGCCACCCTGTGAAGAAGGTGCCTGCTTATTCTTTGACTTCTGCCATGATTATGGGTTTCCCGAGGCCTCCCCAGCCACGCTGAACTGAGTCAAGTAAGCCTCTTTCCTTTATAAATTACTCAGTCTTGGGTATTTCTTCATAGCACTATGAGAACAGACTAATACAAAAGGTATTAGCAGAATAGGTCTATGACAGTTTTCTCTTTTACTACGGAGTGAGCCAGCTAGTTGGTTAACCACCTAGCCATCGACAAACTTAAGGGTCCTGCTAGCGGTTTGTTAGGCCTCCTTATAGTCTAGGGATTTAAAATTTATAATCAGAAACACTTAGAATTGATTCACTTTTTACTAATTCATAATATTTCTTGATTCTAACTATATGTATGAATAATTAACATAAGAACTGTGGAAATATATACATATACCACCATTCCAACCCATATATCATTATTTATAATTTACTTGGGGTAGTAGAGTAAGCAGAGAATTAAATTCTAATAATGCATATTGGTTAATTTCCTTTTTTTTTCTCTCTCTCTCTCTTGAGTTAGGTTCTCTCTTGCGCAGGCTGGAGGGCATTGGCATGATCATGGCTCCCTGCAGCCTTGACCTTTCAGCTCAAACAGGCCTCCCACCTCAGCTTCTTGAGTAGCTGTGACTATAGATGTGCCCTACCTCAACTAATGTTTTAATTTTTTTATAGGGATTGGGTCTCCCTACGTTTCCCAGGCTGTTCTCAAACTCCTGGGCTCAAGTGATCCTTCACCCTTGGCCTCCCAAAGTGCTGGGATTTATAGGTATGAGCCACTGACTGCACCAGGCCAATTCTTTTTAACTTTTTTAACAAACATTTTAAACTGTTCCTCTAGTGTATATGACCTGGTGGAATAGGGGCCTACCTTTTAGTTTGGCTCACTGATGAGGCTAAAGGAAAATAGACTGCTTTCAGAATTTTGAAGTCAAATTTATAAATCCCAGGGCTATCATGGAATTTCCTAATATATGGCAAAACCCTGGACAATATTTGGATCTACATGACTCCTGTACAAAGATGTGAAATTCAGAGATTTTATCTAAATTTGAAATTCCAGGATTTCATACTGCAGTGCTCCTAAAACTCAAAAGGTTCCTGAAACATGGTGACCACATTCAGTAACTATTTGTTGAATGAGTGAATGAATGAGGCACAACTGCTGAAGTAAAGGCTAACAATTACCAGTAAATTTAATCTGGAGGTATGATTAAGATATGCTCCTTAATTCTTGAAAATTTTTCTTAATACCCTCCTCATCAATTATATCAAATTTCTTGGTAACTAGCATTAGATTTATAACTGTGTTAATGTAAAAGGTAGTTTTCTAGTCTCCAGTGCATTTCTGATAATTTAAAAATTACCAGAATTGTTGCAAGAATTAGATAGACTCTCATATACCTTCACCCAGATTCTCTGGTTGTTAATCATTTATTTATCTTTTTTCTCTATGTATATACATATTTTTCTGGCCCGTTTGAAAGCGGCATTCTCTTAAGGGCTATGTTGAATAACGCATTTGCCGCTATTATTATGCACATACACGCACAAACAAGATCATTTTTGTTCCCATGACCTGTTACTGATAAAATTAGTGTATTCATTCACTGTATGATAATAACTCTTTGTATGATGTTTATTCCAAAACGAAACATATTGCTTTCTTTTGGGCAGTTCTGCATACTATTGACTAAGATTTCTTTTTCCCCGTTCATACAAACTTCTTAACTGTGCTGTCTCACCTTTAATTTCTTCAGTTTTAATTATGCATTTACAGAAGCTCTTACAAAGTTGTATACAGTAGTCTTCCTTCTGTATGTTATTTTCCCCAAAAGAATACACATATATTCTCAATGGATGAAATCACCATCTTCCTACCCATTTAATGTAGCTGAATAGTAAAACTGGATTGATGTACTCTTAACTATTACTTGAACATTTTGAGGCTTTTCAGGCTTATCTTTAAAAGTTAAGATTTTGAGGCTGGGCATGATAGCTCATGCCTGTAATCCCAGCACTTTGGGAAGCCAAGGGCAGGCAAATCACCAGGTCAGGAGATAGAGACCAGCAAGCAGATCAAGACCTTGGTCAGGAGATCAAGACCAGGAGATCAAATAGCCTTTTGTGTTGGCTAGCCAACATGTGAAACCCATCTCTACTAAAATACAAAAAATTAGCCGAGCATGGTGGTACCCGCCTGTAGTCCCACCTACTTAGGAGGCTAAGATAGGGAAATCGCTTGAGCCTGGAAGGCAGAGGTTGCAGTGAGCCGAGACCACACCACTGCACTCCAGCCTGGAGACAGAGCAAGACTATCTCAAAAAAAAAAAAAAAAAAAAGTTAAGATTTTGAGTCTGTTCTTTTTCTGGCATTTCTTAAGTTCAAATTCTGCTTAGTGTTTGTACTTGATCTTTCTACACAGATAATGATTGAAGGGCAGTGTGGGTATGATTGAAGGATAAAATGGGAGGGAGCAGTTCTTAGCACTCTGCTTGGAAAGTTTATTGCCTTGGTGGTGGTGGGAAGAAAATTGGGCAAGTGTTAAGTGTGCAGCTAGAATGGTGCTCTGCAGTTCATGTTGACAGTCAAGTTTTATATTCTTGATTCTCAGTGAGATTAGGTATTGAGCAGAAACGATAAACCAGAAATCTGAAGAAGCAAAACTTTGGAATATATATTACAAAGATTTAATAACCTTAAAAAGTATTAGAGATATTCTTATAGATGAGCAAGAGAATGGGTAAAAGACACAACAGGTAATTGAAAGTGTTTTGTGATTATGTATGCATAGCATAGAATTAACCATTTCTAAGTGTATAGTTCAGCAGCATTAATTGCATTCACTCAGTTGTGCAAACAACACTACTATTTCTAAAACCTTTTCATCTTTCCAGAGACTCCGTAGTCATTAAACAGTACTGGTACTTAGTCTTTTTACACAGATAGCCGAATGATTTAAGGG